CCGCACCGCCGCACCGCCGCACCGCGAGCCAAATATTGCGCCATGTCGCTCGCCCAGGTTTGGTCTTAGTGACGAACAACGAGGCGCTGGGGGAAGGGCGCCGGTGTGCCAGTGTGAAAGAGGTGATGGTGGCAGCGTGCGTCACAAGAGACGCTGGTGAAAGAGGCGCTGGCCGACTGCCTCCGCCCCGGCCCTTCGGCTGGTGGGGAAGTCCTACCGGAAGTGCATCGGCAAGGACAGACTGCAGTCGGCAGGGCCAGGCCAGGGCCAGGGCAGGGCGCCGAGCGCGATGGGCCCGGTGGGTCCGGTCCGGTGCAGCAGGGCACCAGGCCAGCAGGCCAGCAGGGCAGTCAACCCAACACTTGCGACAGCGGCCCAGCGTGCGCGGCGCGCGTCCTGAGTCTTGACCTTGCCGCTCTTGACCGGACCGGTTCCAGATCCAGCTCCCAGCGTCCTCCGCGACGCATGCGGTGCCGACGGTGCCCTTGCCGCGGTGCGCCGCCGCGCCGACACGGGCGTGCACCCCAACACGTGCCCGCGTGCGCCGGCACAGTGTGGGCTCGCTCTGTCTCTCTCGCACCCCTGCGCGAGGCTCTGTGTGGAATGAGCCCGGAGCCTTTGCCGGCGGCGGCAGTGCAAGCAGTGCAGCAGGCGAGGCGTTTAGTTCCGCCGCGGTGTCAATTTGCTGCGTTCGCCGCGCCGAGCAGTGGCGGAGTGGCGGCGGAGTGCATTGGCGCATTTAGCGTTATCATTTGCTGCTTAGGGGCGGTCCCCGCGGCCTCGCTCCGAAAGCACCTAAAGCACCCAAAGCACGCCGCGAGCAGCGCGGAGCAGCGCGGAATCGCATGACGGAACCACGCCCGCCTCACCTCCTCACGTGTGGGGCGCCATGACGGCGACACTGCATTCGGGGTGACATGACATAACCGGGTTCGATTCCCCGCAAGCAACGCCGCTTTTTTTCCCGTCGCCCTCCCGCCGCTCGCGTCTCGCACGTGACCCCAGGCGGACGCGCGGTTAAAGACCACGGCACTGTGACACGGCACTGTGACACGGCACTCAACCAAAGCAGCCTCACACCTCGGGCGGTGAAAGCACCGCCAGAAAAAAAAGCAAAGGCTGGCAGCGCGTAGCACCTAGGCGTGGCGTGGGCGTGGCGTGGCGTGGCGTGGCGCACTATCGCAACCGGCTCGCCTCCGTTTGTCGACGCTCCAAAACAGAAAAAACTGGCGTCCCCCCCCCTCCCCTCCGCAGGCACTTGCACGGCTTACTTGTGCGTGGCGCGCTCAGCGGCATCCTAATTTGACAGAATGGGGGCCAATGTCGCTGCGGCGCTGGAGGGGGGAAGAGGGGGGGGGGCACGATGCAAAGCAACCCGCAATTTAAAATGTGGCGCCGCCAGGCAGGCGCCGCGCCACCGCGACCCCGCCCACGCGTCTGGGAGGAGAGGGGGGGGGCAAAAAAAATCGGGGTGCGCTCGCCGCCTCCTGCTTGAACGGACTGACTCACACTGTTAAAACAAAGGCGTACTATTACGCCCTTCGTGAAGCGTACAGCCAGTACGCCCTTCTTCAAGCGTACAAGAGTCGAGTTCATGCGCTCCTTTCTTCCTATCTAAATGCATGGGGGCATTGCCTTGAAGCGTAGTTGTACGCTTCAAGAAGGGCGTACAGTCTTGAAGCGTAGTTGTACGCTTGAATGAAGCGTACAACTACGCTTTAGTTTTACCAGTGCAGTGGCAGTGCGCAATGCATTTTTCACCGCTGCTGAACACTAAAGATTCGCACTCTTAAACGTCCAATGAATGCGCGGGGCGCGGGGCGCGTGGCGCTGCAGGTAGTGCAACGCGTGCGTCGTCAACAGTCGCCGAGTGCGTCTAATGTGATGCCGTTCCGACACCGCACTGCACCACACTGCGTCGCCATAGGCCGCGCCATAGGCCTTCGCGTTGCGACACCCTTTCGTCGTCTGCCCCGCGAATCTAGTTTTCATGCCGCACTGGAGGCTGAAAGCGCCGGCCGATGGCGCACAGTGGGCCAGAAGCCGGTGGAGGCGGCCAAAACTCTAGACGCGTTTTGAGCTCCAGAGTCGCTAAATGGGACTCGAACCGAACGTGTGACCCCACCAATGGATTCCTCGTTCGGAGAGCAATCCATTCGTGGGGTCACACGTTCGGTTCGAGTCCCATTTAGCGACTCTGGAGCTCAAAACGCGTCTAGAGTTTTGGCCACCTCCACCGGCTTCTGGCCGGACACTGTGTGGCGCCGCCTCGTCGCCAATTACTCGCTTCCAAGTCATCCCTGGCGAGCCATGCGTCCAGGCGGGGCCGCCGGGCGAATGCAGCCTCCAGTGTGCCTCGGCATTGGCTGGCTTTGGCCCGGTGAGTGGGCGTGTGCCTGGCACTGGGCTGGCACTGGCTGCCCGCCGCTGGCAGCCCGACCGGCCAGCATCCACCTTGACCCCTGGGGCCGTGCTGGCCGTGCTGGCTTTCGACCAGCCACATCCTGGATGGCACCTGAACCGCGCGAGTGCGCCGTCTGACTGCCCCACGCAGTGTGCCAAACCCAAGGCCAAACCTCACTAAAAACAGAAAGGTGAGACACAACTGTCCGACCGAAAAAGGGTGGTACCGGAGTACTTGAATGTATGACCGGATAAGGGCGATACTTTGACATGACCGATAAAGGGTGATATTTTTGTCAGTAAAGAAAGGGTAAACCTCGCTGATGTTTATAGGGCCGAAAAATGGTGATACTTTGGATCTGAAAAAGGGTGATACTTTTATGACTGGCCGATAAAGGGTGATATTTCAGTGAGCAAAACAAGGGCAGCCTCGCTGACCTTTCTTCGGTCATACATCGGAGTATCACCCGTTTTCGGTGATACATTATTTGTGTGAGTATGACCTTATGCCGCAAGGAGACAGGCGCGTATTGCGCGTGATGCGCGTTGACTTTCGGTTTCAAAGCGCCGCCGCCGAAAGGGAGGCCCTCACTCCCTCGCGGGTCAGCCCAGGTCAGCCCGTATCGGCAGGTCGCCTCCTCCCCTCCTCACCGCCCACACTGCCAGACACTGTCACTGACAGCCGCAATCAAGGCTCGGCGGAAACTACTTTGGCGTACCTGCCACATGCCGGACTACGTAAGACGCATTAGAACGTTGCATTCCCGCACCATTCAAGTTGATCCAGGAGGCGGAAGAAAGGGAATATTGGACGCATCGTCTGCTTGTTTTGTTTTTGTTTTGTCTCGATGAAGGATTGGAGTCGGCCATTCTTCCGCTTCGTGGATCAGTGTAGTGCAGGGATTGGGGCCCCTTTAATCCCCCCCGAACCAGCGGCGCCGCCCAAAACCCCTTCCAGGGAGGCGGCCCGGGGGGCCAGGCCATGGAGGGGGCCCTCTAGACGCGGGCCCGAGTCGCAAATGGGTTTGCCGGGGTGTGACCCCCCAAATTTGGACCCGTTCGGAGCTTCCATTGGTGGGGCCACACGTTGGTTCAGTCCCGGGCGCGGCCCAAAACCCCTCGGGGTTTTGGGCCTAGGCCCGGCCCCAGGCGGCCCAGCACAGCCTGCCGGGCCGCAACGCCCTGTGCTCGTTTCCTGCCACTTGTATGTAAAACTGATTGGTGCCTAATGCATCCCAGGCGGAACACAAAAGTCGAAGAGCTGAAAACGAGGCGATTCGGTCCTGTCAAAGCCCAGTTCGTCCAGGCACACGTCGCGGTTCTAATTTGACATCTCAATAGGGTCAATTCTGACCGATTGGGAGCAGACGACACATTTTCGAACAAACTTGTGCCAATTCACATCCGCAGATGTGCGTGAAAATACGCCAAAGCGTGAGAGGGGGCGTCCTGGCCGCATGGACCAGTGGTGGGCGTTAGTTTGAATCGGCAACAGTCTCGTCAGGGCAATCATCAGACCACTGCCAAATCTTTGTGGCCCACTCGATCCTCCAAGGATGGCACTCGGTGTCGCGCGGCTCGGCGTCGCGTGACGTCCACTAGAGTAGAGCCCAAAGCCGAACCGCTTGCACAACCCGCCGTGCCGCCGTGCACTCTCCCACTTGAGGCGACGCCATTCAGCCGACGTCAAATAGTACGACTTGGAGGTCACTGAACCCTCTGCTGCGCGCCGCGGGGCTCTGGCCGCCTCTAGCTCCACCAGTGGACCAGTGGTGTCGCGAAGGGTTATACCGCGTTACCGCGTATCACGTAGTATCACGCCGGCCCGGCCCGGACTCGGCGAGATAGTGTTTTCGCAAACACGCGCAGCGCGCCGCCACGCCGCGGGCGCCAGTATCGGACCAAACGGCTAATTATTTCCACTGCCGAGGGGGAGATATTGGAAGCTGTGTGTGTGTGTCTGTGGGTGAGAGTGTGTTTGTTTGTGGGTGGGTGTTAGTGCGTGTGTGTGTGTGAGTGTGACAACGTCCGTCCGTCGAGACGGTCCGGAAAATAAGGCGACACGGGCGTCCGTCCGATTACGTGAAGCAACCACACACGCCGACGCGCACACACACACACACTGGGCAAACACGCCGCCCAAACTTTCCGAAAAGGCGGACAGTGGAGGGCACAGGGCCACACAGGGCGGCAAACACGGCGACCGATGGGACCGGCAGTACGACGCACCCCTGCCTCCGCGGGTCTTGGGTTAGGAGCCATGCCTCACGCCGAGGCGGCCCGGCCAAGCGGCCCTCCGGAGCGACCCGATGCAGGCCATGCAGGCCGTTAAGGTGGAGAGAGCGAGAGTGCCATGGTCAGTAAACCAGGGGGCCGGGCGAGGGATGCGCTGCTTGCGCTGCTTGCGCTGGCTTGCGTCACCGCGGAAGTGCACCGACGGGGACGACGCCACTGGTCGTTTTGGCGGAATGTAATGGAGGTAATGGCAGCAACGAGGCGCCGGGGAAGTGAGCGACTGGGCGTGTGCAGTGCAGTGTGCAGCGCGACGGCCCGCTGCCGCGCCCCGCGTCGCCCAGTGTAGTGTACTCCGCACTCACCCTTGTCCGCGCTGCCGATGCAGGCTGAGGCACCCGGGCCGGGCCGACGGCGAGCGTCGCGCGCGTCGCGCGCCAAGGAGCGGCAGTCGCCGGCGCTGGACAGGCCGTCCGAGGAGACCACGTCGCTGGAGGCGGACGACGCGGACGACGAGCAGCCCACGTCGATGACGAGCCTGGACGTGGCCGCGCAGGCCGGCGACGCCACCAGCTGACCGCCGCCCGCCGCCACGGCGTCCTCGACGTCCAGGTCGTCCACCACGAAGCCGGCGCCCTTGTCCATCTCCAGGATGCGCGGCGTGAGCGTGCAGGACGCGAAGATGGACGGCCGCGTCAGGACCTCGCTGTCATCGTTGTCCCCGCGGGTGGTCGCCATGGCGTCGGCGGGGAGGCCGCTCGGCTGGGGAGGTGCTCGACGCGCCCCTCCGAGTTCCTTCCGTTCGACGCGTGCCGCGTGCCGCTCTGCGTGCACCTCACCACCACGACGCGACCAAACACCGACTGAGGCCGCCATGCCACCATGCCATGCCACCACACCATCCAGTGGCGGGGCGAGGCGGGGCGAGGCGGGGCGAGGCGGGGGCGGCGTGCCCTCCCCCCTGGGTCCTGCCTGCTTCTCCTGCTTCTCTCCTCTCGCAGTAGTCAAGGTCTTCCCGGCGCACTCCGCGGGGCCCTCCCCCCTCCCCTCCCCTCCCCGCCACTCCCATCCCCGCCGCGCCGAGCCTCTCCGCGCAGGGCAGGGGCAGGGCCGCGGCCACGGCGCTACGCGACCGCGCGACCGCACCGCGCCGCGCCGATGCGCGGTCGCATCCTCGGCTCGGAATGTCCGTTCAGGCGGAGGCAGCCACCGCAGCCACCCCTCCCCCGCCCCTTCGGTTCACTGTGAATCCATCCCCACGCCGAAACGCACCCCGAGCATCCCTATGTCAGTCACCACTAGCCGTCCTTTACCTATCTACCTACTCACACCTCGGTCACCTCGTCCACCGGGGCCCGGTGCACCTGGTCATCCTGAAGCTCCTATGCTCACCTCACGCTGCCTCCCCCTGGCTCCTACCTCGAGGGAGTCGTGCTCTCCGCCTCCTGCCCTGCCTCGCACCATCGCACGAGGCGCCCCGCCAGCACGACCAGCCCTGAGCCCTGGGCCCGCCGGAAGGGAGGCGGGCGAGACGCGAGGTGCGCTCTTCCTTTCGTTGGGGTCCCGGCCCGGCCCGGCCGGCCGCGGTGCGGCGGTGCAAGTGGCGGGGCGGGGCGCCCTCGTGCCCGGAGTCCGGAGCGCCTGCCGCGTAGGCAACACCGGTGCCGCGACGCACGCGCGTTCGACGGGCCGGCCGACCCGCCAGGCGCTCGCCAGTGTACGCCAATCTGGAGGATCTGGAGCGGAGCGGCCCGGAAGCACCGGAAGCCCGCGACTCGGCGACGCGGTCCGCCTTGCAGGCTCGGTCAATATCCTGTCATCGTCCGGCGGCGCCCCCTCCCCTCTGGAAAAACAGTGCCGGCCGCCACTTCTAGCAAATAGGCGTTATCAATGGCGGTTCATGTGTCTCGTCTACACTGTGGTCTGGGTGTGCCGTCGGCCGTGTGCTGCTCGCCGTTCGCCGCGCGGGGCTGGGGACACGGGTACACGTGGCCCGCGGCGACACCGCGCGGACACGCTTACAAAAACACACACACACACGCTCCGCACTGCGCACACACTGACGGCCGGAACCGACACCACTAAATCGCACGAACACACGCAGCCGGTTGTTTTACTTTACAACAAGACGAGACCGCGCGTGGACAGTTTCGCGTCTTCGCCTGGATTGTCGAGTGTCTTGAGTGAGCTTTACTCCGACACTTTGTCTCACGCAGAGTGCCAGCGAGTGGATGAGGTCCAACTCAACGCCTTGAAGAAGGCAACCCAACCGGCACCTTCTAGGGACTGCGCGGCGCGGCGCTGCGCCGCCCGTGGTCAGGCAACTCAATTGCCAGCTGCCCGCGGGAAGGGGAGGGGGAAGTCGCGAAGCAGAAGCAGAGTGAGTGTGTTCGACGCCGGACTTGAACCGTGTCGAGGGCAGTGGAAAGTTGCCTGTTGGCCGAGTTGAAACAACGCAGGCAAAAGAAGGATCAAGAACCGCAATTGGGAAGGTCAACCTAGAGGGAGGCCAACTAAAACGGGAAAAAATAGGATTTCTCAGAAGAGTGTTTACATAACGAATCTATCAATATTTCTTGAATGGAAATGTGGGTGACAGAGAGGCATGTAAACTGATATGCACCCTTGCAGAGTGCGCGACTTAGGCGACAGGTTTAGTCTACTCCGCGCCCGTGGGCCGTGGGTAGGCAACCCAAACGACGGCAACCCGCCCAGATGAGTGAGATTATTTCGCGCCTGTGGATAGGCAGCCCAAATGGCGGCTGAGATGTTCTCAGACAGTGTAGTGAAGCGAGTAAGTCTTTTGTTCTGATCTCATGGCTCGCCCAAATATGCGGTTGTTAAACGGGCACAAGTATAAACTATCAATTTTGGGTCTCTGGCAAAAATTTTAAGTCAAAATGGCATGCAGTTATGAGACACTCTGCTGCAAGTCTGCAAAAATGCGGATGGATGAGAGTACCCCAAGTAAGGAAATTGTTTGTTTCTATAAATGTTTTGATGAATATTTGAGCTTTTAAGGGAGTAATTGGTAAAAAATAACACAAAAGCCTTTGTATAAATAACAATTTGTATATTTACAGACGTCACCAGTATCACAATACAACATGACTGAGCACTGCTTCGATAGCCTGCTAATTGGTACGATTTGGACAAAATTCATAAGCAGACCCGCAAAAACGCGGCGCAAACTGGTAATAAATACATTCAGTCTTCAACAATAGAAAAACATAAAAACGGCTATCCCACAGACGACACAGTTACTAGAAAAAAGATAACAATGAAGATCCAGACTAGACGTTTCATAAACAATACAAGCGAGATATATGGATTTGGACATTTCATGGAAGAAATAGAATGAGGCAAAATTCAGCACAGGGTTTAGGATGCTGCTAAGCATTACATGAGGCATATACACTATACCTCTATCACTATAATAAATTGATATTACTTATATTATAATAATTATGATAAGTTGATGAAGAAATAAATATTGAACATATGGCAACCAATACATTAACAGTAACATTAACTATATGACAACAAAGACACAATAGACACTTCAGAGGAATGTGACAGTGTTTACACATACCATTCTGCATCAGACGCTCAACGTCAAACAGTATTGCATGAATAAATCTGAACAAAAATATAACAAATGGTCAACAATCATACAAACGCTTTTCATCCACAGGCGGAGGGAGTCTAAACTTAAATTTGAGCCTAAAACTCAATCACGATGTACCGAACATTAGTTCAAGTACTGAAACTCGTTTAAAAACCACACAGCTTGGAATGCAAAAAAAACTATTTGAACTAACGCATTGTACATGGGGCACAGATACGAGCCCCTTCCATTTAAAGCTAGATTTGGTCCAGGCAGACGGACCTCTGGGGAGCTCCGCCCAGAGGTGCCCGCGTTTGAGCACAATGTTCACATCTAATAGGTACTGAGTAAACAACAATTTGAGTATTAAAGAACACAAGTGACTTGTTCACATCTTCCAGGCTGGCAGCCAGGCTGCATCCCGGTGGAACAAAGTAGCGCTAATAGAAAAACTAGACCGATCAACGGCATTTACCCTGCACTCCGAGGGTCCAAATCGGCGGGACAGACACACACATGCACACACTGGCACACAGACGCACACACACTCACGCACGCTCTCGAGACACCGGGAGAAATACTGACATGGGCTTAGCCCCTCGGTGGCGATCCACGCCCCGATTTCGCAGTACAATTCGAAAGGCGGGCGTCACCCGCCTCCCCCCCTCCAGCGTGGGAACGAGGGGGAGAGGGGAGAGGCGGCACAGGCCCGCCTTCAAGCTGGCCGAATACTGAAACAGGCGTCCACGCACAGCCCTTCGCCTAGGCCGGCCTAGGCCAACCCTAGGCCTCACTGTCCTCACGCGGAGTCCGAGTCGGGGGAGTCCGTGGACAGGTCCAGGGTGCCCCGCTCCCGCAGGAACAGCCGGCGGCACAGCACCGCGGCGGAGGCGATGCCGCCCGCCAGGAAGCCGTACATGAGCAGAAGCTCCAGGATGTGCACCGTGAACGTGGCGTGGTACAGCAGCGTCTTGAGCGGCGAGGGGAAGTCCGTCACTTTCTGCAAGACGAGACCATCACATTAGGGAAACGTCACTGGAACGGATAAAGGCAGTTCCAAATCAGGACGCCGAGGCGCGGCCGACTCACCAGTTCGAACCAGGCTACGGGGAGAATGCTGAGGTCCTTGAAGTGGGTCATGGTGGCGCCCAGGACGCCGGCCGCCTGCCGCACCTGCACGTTGAGCTGCAGGCGGGAGGTGCCGCCGATGGTGAGGCCCAGGGTGCGGTGGATGTCCACGAACATGTCGTGCTTCTCGGGGTCCGGGTTCAGGCCGATCACGTTGTTGCGCAGCGCCGGGTCGCCGTGCAGGAAGTGGGGGAAGGACATGATGAGCGGGGCATCTGTGGCGACAAAAAAAATGCGGCGTTTTAGTTTTCGTCGGCAGTGTAACGCTGACTCCGTGCGAATCAGACAATGCCATGCGAGTCGCGAGGCGGAGGCGCTGGCCGCGCTGGCGGTGGCGGCCGATTAGCACAGCGGGTCACGCGACCCTTGCATCAGATCGCCCAGCACGCCCAGCACGGCCTGCCGCGAGGCGGCTCGCCACTTTCGGCAGGGACCGCCGATAATTTTGGCAAAAACTCAGGTCAGCCCATCCCGGCTGGCCGAGCAGAAGGACCCTAGACTACCGGAGCCCAACTGCGAGTGCACCTCGCAAACGAGTCATTCCCTTGAGGACGAAAAATAAGGAAGCCGGGTGCCCGTCGTTGTTGACCGCACCGCGTTTTTGACACGGCCGTCATCCGAAGAGACGGTCGTCATCGGCGGGGACAGGGACAGGCCGAGCCGTTTTCCGTTCCGCGGCACTCGCGACGTCGCCAACGCGGCCAAAACACTGACCCGCCGCGACCCCGCGCCGCGGCCCGCCATTGCGCGCACCAGGCACCACCAGGCAGGCACCACGCGCACTCCACGGCCAGCTCATTAAAACAAGCCCTTCCCAATGAATGCCCCAAGGCCCGAAGGGGACCCAAGGCGCCGCGTCAGGCAGCCAGTTTCGCAACGCCAACAGGAGCAGCGGAGGGGAGGGCAGGGGGCGTCAAGGCATTACCCAACGGCCTTGCTATACATATAGTCAAATCCGGGCCAAATACACGGCGGCACAAGACAGGCCTGCCTACAGATGTCGACGGGGAATCACCCCAACATCGCTTTAAACCAAACCCCGTTGCCACGTCGGCCACGTCAGCGGCTGGTCTCCAAGGCGAACGTCACGCCAAGGCAGACCCACGAAATATGCCTCGGTCCCAGACCGCGATGCTGAACAACTTAACATTTTTGGGACTAAGTAGGAGACGAGTTCCGTGGGTAAAGCATTGTGCGCGGCTTTATGCCCATAAACCCTTGCGGACGTCATCACCACCGCGGCGACGTCACACAGCACCCCGGGGCAGGGCCGGGCAGGGCCGCCAACTCCAAGCCGTGGGAATTCTGGGCCGCCAGACAGCCGCCTGAATTCAAGCAAAGCCCACTCAAATAATTCAAACGCATCGAATCGCAAACGGCGACCCGGCCGCACCGTAGCGTCCCGTCCCGTCCCGTCGCGTCGCCGCTTCCCACGGCCCGGCGCTGCGCGGCCAGGAAACTTCCTCCACTTTCATTCTCACCGAAGTTGCAGGCGGACGAGTTGAAGACGCCGCTGGGCAGGCACTGCTCGGGGTCGTCGTGGTGGCAGAAGCACTCGTTGTCCGGGTTCTTGCCGGGGTTGTCGAACACGTTGGGCGGCAGGTGGAAGCGGTAGGCGGGCATGCCCTGCGCCTCGGTGTACCGGTCGAACACGAGCGGCAGGCGGCGGCACATGTCGCGGTTGTAGACGAAGAGGCGCGCCGTGGGCGACACCTGCGGCGGCGGGAACTGCGACCCGTCCGAGCCCTCGATGCGGTTGCACTCGTCCGTGCGCCACGCGCCCTGGCTCGTCTCGCCGTTGAAGTTGACGATCTGGCCCAGGCGGTTCATGTCGTCCGCGCCGGTGTGCATCGTGATCACGTGGTCCGACACGCCCACTTTCTGCAGCCACAACAAACAGCGCGGTAAAAACAACAGGCGCTTGCGGGGAAGGGGGGAGACACTGCGGCGTTGGACTTACCGGGACCATGAGGCCGAACTTGGTGTAGGGGATGGTCTTGGTGAACTTGGCCATGTTGAAGAGGCTGTCCTCGTAGCCGAACAGCAGGTCACGGGTCGGGATGTGGAGGAGGGGCTTGGAGTCCATCAGCCGCAGCATCGTGTTGATGCCGACGCGCTTCACCCAGCTCTCTTCCCGGGCCGTCGCGAGGGCACTCTGCGAAGGGGAAGACAAGGATAACGACTCAACGAACCACTCTACTTTCTTTATTCCTCACATTATCCGTCCGCCACAATCCCCTGGAGATACAGTCCCCCCGCCGCCCCCTACCCCCAAAAAAACAATCAAAAAACAGCCGCCGACGTCACGAGAACCACGCGTTGTTATTAATCAATCCGGTGGCGTGAGCCGTGGGATTTTGAGGGGCACGAGGCCTGCCTAGCCTGTCAGCGAGCTCGCCGCCGAGGCGGGGGGATTATGACCTCAATATTTGCAACAAAAACATTCAGTGCTCGAGCTTGCTTTTTTGGCGCGGTGCCGCGGCGCACAGCAGCGGCGCGGCGATTCGATGCAATATTAATGAGTGGCAGGCCAGGCAGCATCCGAGCGATTCAGAAGAGTCGTCTCGTCGCTCTGTCTCTGTCGCACTCATGGGGCTCGTCATAAGCGTGCGAGAGAGACAGAGCGACAAACCGATTTCCTGAACCGGTCGGCAGGCAGGCCGCGGCAAACCGCGGCAGGGACAGTCATCTGCAGCGAGAGGGGAGTGAGTGACCTTCGCAGAAATCGGCAAAAGTGAACCGAAGAGCGGCGCGTCGGCCAGCCGGCCACGCGGTCACGCCGCCGGCAACATCCGACGGGAAGACTGTATCGGGAGCAGCTCAAGAAGGCCAGGATTACCACAGGCGTCTCGTCCCACCACGCCATGTTACGCAAACGACGTCGTGCGACCGATAACGGCATATACGGCGTGTCGCGTCGGGCCGTACACTGCTAATCACAACATATCCAACAATTCCACGCCAGGAAGCGTGGGGCACATGTATCCCACACTTTCCCAAGTGCGAAACATGCCATTTTTTACGCTTCCTAACGTGTAATATTTGGCCCCACCGCCCAGGCCAGAGCGAGAGCGAGAGCTCACCATGAAGGGGATGTTGGGCACGAACACCTTGGCGTCCTCCGGGTACGGCGACAGGTCGGGCCGAAAGGTGTAGGTCTTGTTCTCCTGGTACGAGAGGGTCGAGTTCGGGTAAAACTGCACGTTCACCTTCTCCGTCGTCTCCCTGCGCAAAGTCAACAAGTGTAAAGGGCTGCTCGGCACTGCCGGTAGATGAAGTAGGGGGCGCTGCTGGCTGCCACTGGCCAGGCCCGCCAGGCCGCACGGACACGTACTCGTAGGTGAAGGGCCCGACTTCCTGGACGCGAAGCTTGGAGCCGTCGCGCCCGAACGAGTCCGCGTTCGTGTAGTTGAAGATGTACACCATGAGCAGCGGGGTGACGGGAGGCGCCCGCCACCAGTCCCACGTGTTGGACGAGTTGGAGATGACCATGGTCTGCAACAACAACAACAAGGCCGCGGTCAAGGACGCGTCACGAGGACGGCGCACGGCGCACCGACAGGCCGACACTCACCCCGGTCACCAGGTCTTGGAACAGCGACGTGCACCACATGACGGCGGTCCCCGCCAGGCAGAACAAGAAGGCGGCGAACAAGGACGCCAACCCTGAAGGACAAACGAGACTCGTTTAGCGAGGGAGTTAAAGTAATAAGCGCGCTGCTAGGGCGGCACGCCTGGCGGTGCCCGGCCGCTACGCCCACCTAGGGTCAGGGCCGCGGATGGGCCTGCAGGGCCGCCAGGGCCGGGCCGCGCACAGTACACCTCAATGCAGCGGCGCCCGCTTTGCATCGCCTCCAACGTCATCGCCGTCTAGATAGCGGCAGTCGGCCAGCGGCACGGTCACGGCCGGGGAGGCTAGCGTGGCTGGTGTGGCTAGCGGGGCCAGCGGCTAGCCGGTGCACTGCCCCTGTCTGCGGCGCCTCGCCGCGCTCGCCGCCTCCCTGCAGTGCCTGGGCCTGGCCCGGGGCCTGGCCGTCGTCCGTCACTCGGACATGCAGATTGCACCCGTCGGCCGGCACCTGACCCGCGGCCGGGGTCCTCGGGTCCTGGGGCCCTCGATAAGCCGCTAATGAAGCAGGCCCGCACCACCGCCACGTTTGGCGAGCAGCGCACGGGCCGAAGCCAAGCGCACTGCTGCCCAATCCGAACACGCCGTCTCTCTCGCACTCCAGGGCCACGCCGCGGGGGTGCGAGAGAGAGCGGCGGTACTGCAGCCAACCGCGGCGACGCGTCAATGAAGACGCCCACGCACCTAGGCGCGTCCACTCGGCGTCCACTCCGCGCCGTCGCAGCCAGATTAATCGGGCGATAACGCGTATCGCTCAGCATGGCGGAGACGCGCGTAGTCTAGACACCGCGGCCCATAAAGCTCTTCCGGGTCAGCGAGCAGCCAGCGGCGAGTCCTAATTAATCGCAACCTTCACGCAGCACGGCCAAGCGCGGACAAGCGCCTTATCGCTCAATGGGGCTCGCCCCGCCAGGCCCACCACGCCACGCCACGCCACACGCGCCTAGGCGAGGCTCCAGGACTGCTTGCCGTGTTCGACAGCCTGCTCCACTCCACGAGCGCGGCGAGGGGACACCGTGGCACCCCTGCCGCGGCCGCCACCACGCGCCAGACAGGCTGCATCAGCCACCCCTCCCCTCTCCCAGGGGTCGTCTTTCAGCGACTGGAGCGGCCGAGAATAGACGCCGCCCTGTCCTTGTCGCACTCATGGGCCGTCCCGCGGGGTGCGAGAGAGGCAACGCGACGCGACGGCTCCCCGGCATGACTCGGCAGGTCAGCGCGGAGGAGCAACGCACCCAGAAGACGCCGCCAATCGCACGGAGGCCGAAGGGCCGCGCCGGCCGCGCCACGCACACCTATGCACCAGCGATAGCGTGTCCGGTGGCGCAGCCGAGCGGCCATGAGGCGACGCCAGCAGAAACATGCACTTGCGTGGGGCGGCGCGGGGCGCGGGGGGCGCGGCGGGGCGTCGTGGCGTGACTCGCCCTTCAGCCAATCAGAAATCGGGCGGCCTAGCGCGGCGGCTGGCCTGGCTTGCCTGGCAGCCGACACCGCGCGGAGGATCGAGTGGCGGTGTGCCGGCGGGCAGCGACTTCCTGCGCGCCACCTTCAGGGCGCGGTCAGGGCACCGCCAGGGCACCGCCACGACCTCGCCGAGGACCTCCGCGAGCCGCAGCCGAGCAGGTCGCGACTCCGCATTGCCTAAGCTCCCGGCGCTGTCCCGGCCCGCCTGCTGCCGTCGGCTGCCGCCATTCACGGCTTTTCCGAAAAGCGCTTTCCCGGCTTTCCCGCTGCGCAGCGGCCGGGCCGCGTCACTGCCGCGTCAGGGGAGAGCGGCTGGCTTCGGACATCGCGCCACGCTGGCACGCGCCCACCCATTGGCCGCGCCGCCACCGGGCCGGCACAGCCCCGCGCGGCCCGCCAATCGGTGGCGCGGCCCCCGCGGCCCCCGCGGCCCGTGGTGTGCTGTCTGGCTGCACGGCTCTGCGCCACTATTCCGTCCCATTTGCACTGCCTATGCGGCGGAAAAAATGACACGCAGGCGCCCCTTCGCGCAAGCACCGCGCGCAGTCTCTCTCACACAGTGCCTCTCTCTCACACTCAAACATCCTCTCTTTCGCTCTCACACAAACAGTCTCTCACGCAGTCTCTCTACCCCTCACAGTCTCTCTCTCTCTCGCGTACACAGGCGCGCACTGACGCAGGTAAAGGAGGCGAATCAATCGACGCAGAGCCAGCGCCGCCGGGAAAGGCGTCCCGTCTACACTGCAAGTGCATGCATGATAACAGCGGGCAAAAACACGCGGAGCACATCAACAAGTACCCAGCCCGTCGTCGCACGGTGGGCCAGCCAGAAGACCGGCAGAGGCGGTCAAAATCCCAGACGAGTTTTGAGCTCCAGAGTCGCTAAGTGGGACTCGAACCGACCCTGAGACCCCGCCAATGGATTGCTCTCCGAACGAGGAATCCATTGGGGGGTCACACGTTCGGCTCGAGTGCTGCTCAGCGACTCTATATAGAGCTCAAAACGCGTCTAGAGTTTCGGCCGCCTGCGCCGGTTCTCTGGCCCACTGTGCGAGTCAGACCCCGGCGTCGCGGCCGGCGAGAACGTGAGCGGCGGCAGGGAGCTGTCCCGGCGGAGGGGCCCTTGCCGTCACGGCGAGGCATGGCGACGCATGGCGACGCGGCCCTAGCTGCCCTTATCGTCCAGGCGACACATCCGCGCCCTTGATAGCAGTATCCTCCCTATCGACTTCCCGGCATCAATTAGTGTAATTGGCACCACTCGCCCCGCGCCACCTACAGCGGCCCGCCCCCGCGCCACGTCGCCGAGGCAAAACTTTTGGATTGAGCAACACACAGCGACGAACAAAAGCTCTGCCAACGATAAGCCGGCGTAGGCGTACTGTCGGGCCGGGGCCGGGCCGGGCCTGCCTGGACGCGCCGCGCGTCGAAATCGCCAGCACCCCCGGCCGCCGCACACGGAGACCGGCGGCGACCGGTGCAAGGGGATGCTGCTGCATTTATGGCTGCAGTAGGCAATGCGCCGCCACGCGCGCGTTCGGGTTGCCTAGCCTCTCTTCCACAGGGGCCCGGCCCGCGCGCACCTCGCGCACCTGGTGGCTGCGCGCCGGTGCAGGTGCGGTGCAGGCAGGCCGCGACGGGCCGGGCCGGCCCAGGAGGGGAAGGAGGGCCAACAGGCTGCGGGAAGCTCACCCTTGGTGACGAAGCCCATGCTGTGCGAGTACTTGCAGCCCTTGGGCCGGAGGGGCCGCTTCATCGAACACTGACGCGTCTCCGGCCACGTCTTCATGGAAGTATCCTTGGCGGCAATGAACAACTTGGTGTGTCTCGTCCGCGGCGCGGCAGGGCGCGGCAGGGCACTGCAGGGCACGGCTCGGTGCAGCCCCGTTCCCTTCTTTCCGACCGATCGCCTCCCCAGACAGCTGACCACCGAATGAAGACACTCGATGTGTGCATTTGATGCTGAGCGCGCGCGCTATCGCTTTTCGTTATTTATTTTTCATTAGACTTTTTGTCTCCCGGCCCCCTCCCCGCCCCGTCCCGTCCTGCTCGGATATCCACCAAAGAGTTGTCATCTGGCGGCGGAGGGCCTCCGCGCCTGCCTCCGCGGCCAGGCCGGCCAGGCCCCTCGAGGGGCGGGCGCAGCCAGTGCGGCACGGACCCCTCGGGGGTCAGGCCTTGATAAGGCGGCGGGGCACGCGGCCGGCGGGCCATTCACTGCACCGCCAGTTGCCAAAACCGGCAGACCGGCAGGCCGGGGCGGGGAAAACCACCCCCACCCACCGCGGGCCGGGACCAGCCTCACCAGCCGCACTAGCCTCACCAGCCCTGCGTGTGACGTCACGTCGCGCCAACAGACTGGCCGGACTAGGGGTGCCTGCCCCGCCCCGCCCCCGCCCCGCCCCGACCACCGTGTTGACGGGTTGGCCGGCCGGCCACAGACACGCAGCGCAGCACAGATACGGGTCGCGCGCCTGTCAGTAACGTCAGTCATAAAAGGACGCAGTGTTATTTTGCGCCGCAGCGGGCCGCGCGCGGACCCGGAACGCCCCGGAAGGCCTCGCCTTGAGCTGCTTGGGCAGAACCACCCACGGCCGGGCAGTGGCGTTGCGCCGCAGGGCCGCGCAGGGCGCGCAGGGCCGCGGGGTCAGAGGCATCAATTAGTGCGACTCTACTCGGGGTGCGGGCCACGCCGCCACGGCCACCACGGCCACCACGGCCACCACGGCCGCGGGGGCCTCGGAGATGCCAAAAGGGGGCGGCCGAAGGGCGCGCAAAGGGCACGCAGTCTAGACGATAAGCCCATGGCGGGGCGGGACGGGGCGGGGCGGGGCGGGGCGGGGCGGGGCGGGCCACAGCCTTCATGGCCTGCCGCTGGCGGCCGAGAGCACACCGCCCCAGCGCATGATCAGCCTCGGCCAAAACGCACAGAGTGTGTGTCGCCTCGTTCGATTCGATTCCTCGAAGCCTCAAAGCCTCGAAGGTCGCAGCCAGGCAGGCAGAGGGCGGCGTGTTGACACCCAAGGGCCCAGGGCGAGGCGGCGAGACGGCCGAGAACTCCCATCAGATAGTCGCGGGGGCGAACAATATTTTGAGCCGAAGTCTGCGAGGTACGTTCAGTGGAAGGTCAAGGCACGCGGATTCTAGCGTATTCAAGCGCCCGAATACTGGAAAGACAACGACTTCTTCATTTGACGCAGAATTTTTCGTTCGGGTGGGAACGTTCGCGCCAAGGGGGTGCATTCGCGTGACAGTCGGCTCACTCCATCCGTAGCACGCGTAATAGTTTGCAAAACAGCAGCGTAACAGCCGAAATTCTCGGAATTTTACATGTGTCAGGGTGGTTTTGGGGCCATTTTTCACGAAATCCCGATAATTTTGAGGCATCATAGACGTAGTAGTCGGGTCACCGCTTTTGGGAGTGCATAGCCCCTTGGCTGGCGCGGTCATGCTGGCACACCACAAGGCGAGACCGAGGCGGCCGCGCGGAGAGGCCACGCCTTCCCTTCCCCGCCAGACGTACTAAAGGCGTTTTTCCTGCGGCCCGAGAAAAAAGGCGCCGATAACAGCGGTGCAAATCAAACAGCCTAAACGCAGCGCCCGGCGCATTCGCACCTGCCGGTCTCTGCCGTGTTCTGCCCGACCCGAGCGCTCAGGGACGCCGCCCAGAGCGACGCACCAGATAATACCGCCTCAAATGACGATTAGCTCCTTCTTTATTGTTTTCCTCCGCTTTTTTTCGGGCGAGATGTCCGGCCTTGGAAATAGCGTAACGGCAAGAACGGGCGCGGCGCCCGAGTCGCAGTAATTGGGTCGAAAAAGCGGTGGTGGCATTACGGCCCGGTAAAAACAGGGGAAACCGGCAGCGGACGTCGAGACGCTGGATGCACCGCGATGCAAGGCGATGCACGTGCACGGCGTAGGCGGAGGAGGCCGACATTCCGACTCCAAGCTTGGCGCGCGTTTTCGGTGTACCACGTCACGCTCGAGCTCAGAGTAATGACAACCAAAAAGGGGAAAAAAGCGGAGGTGGCCTGAGGTGTCCTGACGTACCACCAAACAACGCAGGTTCGTTGGCGTCTCCAGAGGAGTCGAGAGGGGGGAAGACGTTGCAGAGCACCAGCCGGCTGGAATTTGAATATCCGTGCGTGGCGGCCAGGGCGGGCCAGGGCGGGCCAGGGCGGGCCAGGGCGGCCAGGGCAAGGCCATCGTCCTGGTGGTTGTGGTTGGCAACGGCGGCCGAAGCCAAATCCGATGAAGGGTCAGGAAGGCCCGGCCCGGCGCGGCCCGCGGGTTCATCGAGGTGGCCGCTAATGGTCCGCGACGGCGGGGAACGCGGGGGCACCGAGGGCCACCCCACAACAATAATCCAATACTTTAATTAAATTGCTTTCGAGATAATTTCACTCTCGGCCACGCATTCCTCTCGCCAGTCACGTTCGCCACTTCAAACGACCAAATTTTACTTTTAGAAGCTGGATGCATTCATTTCTGCACCGTTAGTTTTCCCTGAAGTTGCCACTCAGCACTGCATAATTTATGTACATATTATTTAAGTGGCAGAAAAACGGTTTTATTCCACCCTTTTAGATTCTCCAGGCGAATGCTTGAAAATGAAAAATTAACATCAACTGACCGATACGTACGTGTTCACGCACATGAATATTGGGGGCGCGACACGACCTGTGGCAGTTTCAAAACGCCGTCTTCGTCTCCGGGCGATAACTTTGTTTGCAGGGCCCGGCCCAGGCCCACCCCGCGCCGCGCCGCCGCGGCCCAGACACCAATAATATAATTGAAAGCGATACCGGCCCGATGACCTGCATCGCCGGGGCGGGGCCCTGCCTGAAGGCTGATGCCCGGAGCGCCGCGCCAAATCAATTGAATATCGATGCCGCGTGCAGTCGAAATGCACATTTTTCGGCCACTCCCCCCCCCTTCCTCCCTCCCTCCCCCCTCCCTCCCAGTCGTCTCAGTCGACTCCCCCCCCCCTCCCCCCTGCCGCAGAGGCATTGTCACTCCTGGAGCCGCACTACGGCCTTTGCGCAGCGCTGCAGTGGGTCCACAGTGCACCGGCACTCCAGAACTCCAGGTGCAGCCTGTTCTTCGCAGCCTCGGCCCGCAACTTGGCTCGGCTCCCTTCCACGCGCCCGCCTTCCTTGCTTATCGCGACCCGCGGGAACTTGAACGCAGCAACGCAGCGCGGGACGCGACGAGGGGTATCGCCGCAAGGGGAGCAACGATCGCAACGATACCCCGCGACGACGAGAAATCGCGGCCGCTTCGGCGCGGAGCATCGACGCGGACAAAGTAACAGACAACAGAAAAGCAGTGTGTACTCACCGCACTTGCGCCTGCAGTCGAGGGCGCGGTAGCCGCGGAAGTGCAGGTCCTCCTGGATCTTGGCCTTGGCCCGGAGGGTGAGCCTGGTGGCCTCCCTGGTGGTGGGGATGCGGTGCATGGAGTAGCTCCACTGCTTGACGAAGGGCAGCGCCTTTCCCTGCTTGCCCTCGCCGGGGATCATCTTGGTGACGGAGCGCTGGTCCTGCTCGTCGCTGTCCCCCTCGGCCAGCATCAGCTCCATGCTGCCGTCGTTGTCCATCAGGCCGCTGTACGACTTGGACTCCCAGTCCGGCTCGTCGGAGACGAGGCCGCTCAGGGCCGTGGACACGGCCGGGGTGTTCATGGTGATGTCGCGGTGGGGAGGGTCACCACCTGGGGACAGAGGGGCTCGGCTTCAGCGAGGGCGGTCGCGACGCGAGTGGCTGGCGGAAGGCCTCCGCCAATGTTGACGTCGGCGTCGGCACCCAAACACCGAGGCCGAAGCACTTGCGCGGTGAGTGGCCAGCGAGCCGTACCTCACTGCCTTCCCGCAGTCCGGACTCGAGTGGGCGGACCAAAATACGACTAGACAAGTGTTGTGCTTGTCTGCGCGTCGCGAGAACCCCAAATAACGCCATCCTGACTGGCCGTTTCGGTCTAACCCGTCCCATCTGCACTATCACGCCCGACTGGCTTATCGGTTACGCTATCGACTTTCTTCCTTCCAAGGAGAGAAATGAGTGACGCGTCCCCGTCCACCTGGCCGACAGGCGGCCAGGACGCCGCCGCGCCCCGAGCACAACACGCGCCCCGTCGTTCTACTCACTCTGGTCTGGAGGGCGACTGCCGGCCGCGGAGTCTAGTGCAAGACTGCCGACGCTGCGAGCTGCGAGGGCCGGCGGTGGGCCCGGTGGGCCGAGCTTTCCTTGTCCAGGCGGAGAAGTAGAGACGGAAAAAGCGCAGACCTCGGCAGGCTGCTAGGCCTCGGCTTGGCCGCGGTGCGCTGGCGGTGCCGTGGCCGAGAACACCACCGCGTCGCTGGCGCTGTCAAATGCTGCTCGACGGTGCGGCGGCCGAGTCGATGTCCCGAACGTAAACACCCACAACACTCTGGTCTTGGATCACTGCGTGTCACTGCGCCGCGGCGCGTCCTCGGCTTGCACTTCTGATTCAACTGTCACTGGCAATCACACACAACACTTCCCGGCAAGGCGCAAAAACGCGAACGCATGCGGCGTCTGCGGCGTGGTGGCGTGACTCGACGCGGCGCCCGGACGACGCGACGCAGCGGGCTGGCGGGGCTGGCGCGGGCTGGCTGGGACTGACTACCGGGCGGCGGGCGGCAGGGCGACGCCGTGCCTGGCCGTGCCTCTGTCGACGCCCTCGCACTCGGACACGACGCACTACGACGCACCACTGCGTCGTCTTGTCGTCTGCTGGAGTGCTGTGCTCCCCGTTGTGCCCACGCGCGCCGGGAGATAGCGCCGTCGTCGCGGCGGCAGTGGCGGTCAAGTTTGGGGCTCGAGGTGTGGTGGCTGGCGGGCTGGCTGGCTGGCCCGGCGTATCCAAGTCTCCAGGCGATAAGCCGATCGGGGCGTATCGTAATGTCACTATCACTGGACGGGACGCACTGGACGGCGGAGGGGCACAGGCAGCCCGGCGGCGGAGTGTCCTGACGGGATGGGCGCGAGAGACGCGGCAGGAAGTGGTGGCGGGGCTGGCGGGCGGGGCTGCCGTGCTCGTGTGCGGAGGACTCGCGTTCTCGCGTGCCGGCCAGGGATTGAGGGAAAAGGTGTCTCGCGGCGGACAAGTCTAGTGCGCGTGGCGCGTCGCATTGCGTTGCGTCGCGGTCGCGGCCAGGGTGGGGGGCGTGACGTAGAATCGGAAGACGCCGAAGACGGCCCGCCAATATTGGCCCGGCGTGCGCTATGCGACCGCGCGGGACGCGGCGGGGCGCGGCGGGGGGCTTCCCTTAGGTAAATTGGCGGCGTGAGTTGTTATTATCGCTCTCGCGTTTCCTTCTTATCGGTACGCGGCCCAGCGTGCGCCACACCCGCCCCGCGACGGGCGTAGCTGCGGTCGCGGACGTCACCGAGAACGAGGGGGTCGGCGGCTTGAGCAAGAGGGGCAAGAGGCTGGCCGGCAGCAGACCGATTCAGAGGGTCGGTGTCGTCGCTCTGTCTCTCTCGCACTCGCGGGGCGTCCCGTCTAGGTGGGAGAGAGACAGAGCGACGAAAACGCCTCTCGGAATCAGTCGACAGGGCGATGCTCCAATTAGGCGGCATGCAGCGTGGCGGACCCAGCCAGGCCCAGCCAGGCCAAGCCATGCGATGCGTCGCCCTGGTCGCCCGCACGGTTCGGCTAGTTGACGTCATGGATAGTTGTGCGATGATTGATGGAGAAAAGAGATTGGAGCGGGCAGTGCCGGGCAATGCTGGGCAATGCGTGGGCGGGCCAGTGGCGGCCCGGCCAATGCGCGTATTGAGGGGCTATTTATACATTGTGAACGCGATTCGAGAAACGAGCCGAGCGCGCCCCCGCCTCCAGCACCTTCTCGCCCCGCCGCCCCGCACCGAGCCTCATGCTCACACTTCAATTGGAGTCCAGGATGGTGCAGGACGTACGAGCCCCTTCCGCCAAGGACGCGGAGCCAGCATCGCGCCAGGACGCCAGGACGACGTCAGTGCCCCGCGCGAGGCGTGGCCGCGTAGCTGGAGGACTGCCTCCGCAGCCTGCCGCCCCTCCCCCTTCCCTCTTGCAGGGTCCGGGCAGTTTGTCGGGGCGCGTTCAGCCGCGCGGTGCCTCTGACGTCCACCACGCCACTCGCGAAAAAGGGCGCCCATCCGCTGTGCTCGAGGAAATAAAAAGGCGAAAATATGCTGCTCCTCCTTCCCATTCATCGCGAGCCAGCGTGCGTGTGTGTAAGTGTGCGGTATGTGCGTATGTGTGAGTGTGTGTGTTCGCTGGGTGTGTGTGGTCGCGCGAGCCGTGGCGCACCTGATGCTATGTTGCTCCGTCCACAGAGTCCACACCTGTTCCGCGCGTTCCGCGCTGTTTACGTGGACACGTGGTGTTCGTACGTGGCCCGGGCCGGTGGCCGCGTCGGGTCTGGCGACGCGAGGCGCGGCGAGTCACTCGGAGTCGCACCACCTTCTGCCTCCGCCAATCAGCAATCGGCGTGCTGCCGGGCTGCCGGGCTGCCCCCACGGCCCCCACTTCCGCGGAGCAGCGCGGATGGGCGCGGAGCCGATAGGAATATGCACGGAGTTTTAGAGCAACGTCGGGGAAGTCGCGAAGGATAGGATGCAGCCTTCCCAGCGGCCTTCCCTATACCCCCGCCCCGCCCCGCCCTGCCCCAACGCGTACGCGTCTCGGCCTCCTGACTGATCGAGATTATTCCGTGCCACGCGAACCGCGTTCGAATCCCATCAATGGCAGTGGATGCTCCACTTTTTTCCGGCCGCCACCGCCAAGCGACGCTCGCGCACGCTAGCCGGGCCCGGGAGCCTCCCGACGCGTCGCGGCGTCGCGTACGCCGGGCACGCCGACCCGCACGCGCCACGCGTCCAAGTCTATTGCCGCACGCCGCGAAGCCGCGCCGCGAGTGCGGACCCCATTAGGGGGCATTAGAATCGTCTCGGGCCTCCACGGCAGCGTAGTTTCAAATGCGGACGGGGTCGCTGGCAAAAACAACGCGGCCCGGCCCGGCCCGGCCCCGGGTGACTCCGCGACTCCCCCGCATGACGTGGCAGTGGCATGCCGTGCCGTGACACGCCACGACATAGCGGCTCGCCGGGCAACCGCAACCCTGTTCAACCCCGTGGGCCGAGGCGGGCCGGGAGACCGATGCAGGCGGCTGAAACTCTAACCGCGTTTTGAGCTCCTGGCGCGGCTCCTGGAGTCGCTAAACAGGACTCGAACCGACGGTGTGACCCCACCAATGGATTCCTCGTTCGGAAAGCAAATCCGTTGATGGGGTCACACGGTCGGTTCGAGTCCCTCTATTAGCGACCCTGGAGCTCATTCCGACGCTTTTGTGCTCGAGGGGTTGCGGGGGAGGCACGGCGACGAGACTTTTTCGGAATGGGCCGCAAGGTCGTAGCAGGCGGTGCTCCCGCGGTACTCTTCCTCCGCGGTGGCCCCGCCCGGGGTGGCGACCGGGCCGACCAAGTCGCGTAGAGATTTGCAATCCAGGACCTTCGGTAACTCGCCAACGAGATCGTTCCCGATCGTTCCAACGGAGTGGTCATGGTCGCCACCCGCTCGCCCTCGCCGGATCCGGTCACGCCCCGTCCGTCAGCAATGCGCCGCGCCGCTCCCAAAGACTGTGTAGTAATAATAAAGTAGTTTGTACAACAGATTTGAATTTCAAAATCATGAACCTAAAAAGAATGTTGTAACTTTTAAAAGCAACCTCTGACGTCGGCTGACGCAAGGGCTGACGTGGGGATACAGGTTTTTGAAAAAAGGTATTGGGGTGGGATGAGTCGCTTCCCGTTTTTAAAATTCGTGACGTTGGAAGCAGCCCGGTTGCATGTGGCCCGGCCTGGCCCGGGCGTTTCAAAGTCACCCACCCTGGGCCGCGTCCTGCCGCCAGCCGGGTGTTTGAATGCCACACGCCCTGGGAAAATAATATTTGACAGGCGCAACGTGTGGGGTGGGTGGGCACCCCGCCGGTCTTGGCTGACGCGGGACGCTCGCCCTTTATCCCCATCGGCTCGGCCCGCCACGACCACACCGGACGGACACACCCCCGTGCAGCCGACCCATGAAGGCCGCTGCTCCGGCCTCTGGAGGCCCAGCCCCCCGGCTGCAGCACTGCGTAGCCGCGCCTGTGGCTTTGTTGCTCGATTAAGGCTTGAATGACGCTGCGGTGCAGAGCTGCGATCGAAAGAAGCGAGTCCCGCGGTGATTAGAGTGTGACGGTTTGGACGAGTGTTGCTGTTGTCAGTCTTCGCGCGCCCCGCCCCGCCCCGCCCCGCCGTGGCCGCAGTGTGCTCCGATTACCATTCACAAGAGCCCGGAGTGCGCGGGTACATACTCCACGTCACAGTGTCGGAGCTATATGCGTCCGAAGCGGACTCGAGCGGATCGCGGGCCCCGGGCTTTTTTGGCTTTTTGCACCAGCCCGTCAGCAGCGCGCTGATGTTTGGAGCGTTGTCTTCGTTGATCCATCGCTGCTTTTTGCCGTGGGGGTGCGTCCCGTGCGTCCCGTGCGTCCCGTGCGTCCCGTGCGACGCGAGGGCTTTCCGATCCGGACCAAAGATTGTCGTCACCGCGCGATGAAACAATAGCGACGGCCGTCCCTCGCCAATGAGTCCCTCAATCCGAGGGACTTCCCCCCCACCGCGCGGGATTTCCCCAAGGGACGGAAAGAAAAGACCCCCGTTTGGAAAAAGAGAAGGACAAGAAGAAGCAGCACCGTCGCCAAGATCCGCAGCAACCCCCTACACCCTACACTGCCTCCGCGCCCTCGTACTTCACTTGGTACTCGTGTCGTCGGAAGCCTGGACGGACGCTCCGACACTTTGACGAAGTGGCGTGCAATTGGCATATCAGTGTCAAAATGAAAACAGTGACGCACTGGAGTAGCAATACTCTCTGCAGGAGCTCTGCTTCTGCGTTGCGTAACGGCATAGCGGAGGGGTTCGCCGTTAGTCTAATGAAAACGCACCCACAGCAGGCTGACTGATGGTCACGCCAAGTGGCATCGCTGTCAAAACACAAACAGAATAACATTCGCATTATCAATCGGTAATGTTTCGGGAGAAGACTACAGTCTAACATTTTCGTTTTCTCGCTCGGTGAAGAAGGGTCCAAAGGTTGTCGGTTGCAGCTATTTTTTAAAAAATCTGGATTTTTGTTTTGTATATTCTTTGCGTTGTTTCACTGATTTCCAAACATAGATCAAATGTTTTCAGTTCATAAAAAAAGAAGAAGGAAAAATCCTCACGCTGATGCTCATTTTCTCGTTTCTAGCTCCATTTTCGGATTTACGTTGTTGCTGCACTTTGAGTCGTTCGTTCCAAACCAGCAAAGGAACCAGGGAGCGAACGAACTGAATTGCCCGCGTTCAGGCTCAAAATGGCTGCACCAATCAGGCGCGTCGACCGAGAAACAAGTGAGCATCAGTGTTTTTCAAACGCGAACAGTTGAAGTTGAACTGTGACACCGGTTTCTGCATCTGCATCAAGCAGGTAAGCTTATTTTATTCTAATTTCGTATGTTTTGACGAAAAATCAAACAACGAAAAACGAACAGGTTCATGACTATTTCATTGTGCTGTCACCCTCTGTTACTTTTGCGTCAGGAAAAGAAGCAAATTTGATGTGCTGCCTGTCAAGTCTGTTGATGTCGATCCAGTGATCCTTGTTTACATCGCTTTATGATGGTGATACGGCTCTAAATCTCAAGAAAATGGAATCCGACTGTCGAACCGCTGCTGAGTTACAGCAATGGGCAAAGACCATGGGGTTTGTTCCCGGATTGAAATTTGTTTCTTCAGAAGAATATCCAAAACCTGAAATATTCCAAAAGTAAGTTCATCACATCATTTTTATCACCCTATTCTCTCTTCACACTTTTTGTGTGTTGACACATTTATTTTGCAGAATATGCAAGGGCAAAGTCACAAAGCTGTGGAGTGATGTCATGAAACATGTCAGGCCTAAGGATGAGATACTTCATATTCAGAAAAACCTTCTACTGCAACGTCTCAGATCAGGGAAACCATTGGATAAAAACCCGGTCAGTTATTTGTTTACTTCTCAAACTCTTAGGACTGCTGTTAAGGATACTGATCAAGTAATTTTACCTCTCTTTAGGTACCTGGGCATCTGAGTGAACAGATGTTTCTTGCCGCCAAGCTTGCTGAGAAGGAAAAAGAACGAGACACTCTTTTGGAATCTATTCAGAAAAAAGAATCATCTATTCGAGCCAAAGAAAAATCACTAAGAAAATCAAGTTAGTTAATTTGTTTTGTGCTCCATTTTTCATAAGTTTTCAGAAACAGTACTAACCATGCCTTATTTTACAGGTCACAAGTCTATTGAGCTCGAGAACCAAATTGATGAGTTTAGAAAAAAGCAGCTTTTATTCAAAATGAAAAGTGAAGAAAGCCGTTCAAAACTTGCCTGGTTGAAAGATGTGGCAGATGTAGCACGTGATCTTTGTCCTCCATCTCCTAATGCAAAACCGGCTTCAGCAAAGTTCTCAGATTCAGAGGCAGGTTTTATATTTGTTTGTTGCACTTTCTAAACGAAGGTATTGATTCTCATCTTCAAATGCTTATTTTATTTTCAGACTATGTTGTATAAATGTATTGATGCCATTCAAGATTTCCACTCCAAGGATCATGGAGGTGATATGGAATTTCCTGATGGAGACCAGTCCATAGAAACACCCTTGCAACAGCTCTGGAAACAAATCAGATTGAACAGCAATGGTTGGGGAGCTCAGCAAATATGGAATGCCATTAATTCTAAACTTCTTACAGAATTAATGGAAGAAATTTCAGTGTTCTGTGGAGATGACTCGAATGCAAGGTAGCCTTGTATCTTTTTTCTGCTCTTCATTCATCCAAAGTAACATTTCTAGCTTAAAAAATTGAATAATTGGATTGTTTTATTCTGTTTTTCTGGATAGACCTATTCATAGTCAAGCATCACTTGTTCAAAGTGCTGTCTCTATATTGCCGGCTAAGTACATGACGTCTTTGCTCGAATTTATAAATTTAGAAACAAAAGTCCGATTGAAGAAAAATGATCTGGAAAAACTTCAAGAGGAATTGATAAATTCAGTAGAGGTGGGGTTTTTCCTATATTGTGGTTTACAACTAATGTTATTTGCACAAATCACAAGTAAAGTTCCTGTTGATAGATAGCCAAGCTAAACACAACAAATTTGAACAAGACAGTGAGCGCCCCAGAGTTCATAAGAGCTTTAGTTGAAGCGCAATCAAAAAAGGCAGTACTATCTGGGAAGTTACAAGGCATCAAAGCAGAACTCATTCCATGGAAGGAGAAAATGTCTGACTGCGCGGCTGCATCTCACAGTTTGAAGTTAGCTACAGAAGAATTAGCTAGACTTGATTTACAAATAGTGAGTAACAGGTTGCTTCATAAAATCGTTTTTGATAAGTTTTGATTGTATCTATCTTGTTGATGTATCATTTATCCTTTAGGATTCTGATAAAAAGCAAATTGTTGAAAATCTTGTTCACATGAAAATGATTGCTTGCAAACTGAGATCAGTCCGAGCAAAAGCACTTGCTCAACGAAGCAACTTCAACATCCAAGTGCCATCATTTTTCACTATGATGAGAAATCGTCATTACTTTGATTCAGAGGAGGGGGCTATTAGTCCTGACCTAAGGTTTCCTTTCCTTTCTTTCTGTAACAGCTCTGTTAAATTTTCTCCATTCAGTTATACAAGTGTTTCTTTTTTGTTTCTTTTGTCAGGAATGTTCGTGCTTCTTCAACCATGATTGGAAATGAGACAGCTGACTCTAATTTATCCTTTAATACTACCTGTGACTCAGTTGGTGATAAATATAGTGACAGCCCTGAAATGTTGGCTGTATTGAGAGAATCTATTTCAAAAGAAGCCAAGTTATTCATCAAAGTCCATCTAGAATCTGTACCTTTTGTTGTTGTTAATGGGTGAGTAGGGTTGGTGGTACCTTTACTGTCTTATTAATATTTTAATCAAACTGCTTTCTTGTCTAAAAGTTTCCTCTGTTTCCAGGCGGAAAGAATCAGTGTGTAATTTGATGGTCCAGGCTCCATTAATGACATCTCGCTGCTTAAATATGCCTCAGCGAAATTTCCTCCAAATTGTTCGAGGTACTCCTTTCTCAAGTACCCCAGATATATTACTAAAGCAGCTCTTCATTCAGACGCACGTTCGGGCTCTTCATCTTTATAAAGCAATTCATGAAATTCCTGTTTCCACTGATCATCATGTCTCTGGTAAGCTTTTCTCTTTTATTTTTATTACAAGAACTATTTAGTTTCAATTATGTATTATCATGTCAACATTTTTTGTATTGAATTGTTGTTTTCTTCCTTTTCAGGTCACCTTGGAACACTTAATAAGTCCTGTGAGAAAAATGAATCTGACTTGAGAGAGAAAACTGAGTTTGTTCGTGCATCTCTCAATCACATTAAGTTGTTGGTTACCAACAGCAATGCAAATTTTGACTGTTGGTGAGTGGCTATTTTTGTTCATTGGAATTAATTTAACTGTTCTGAGTATGTAATATTCGTCTTTTTATGTCCCTAGGCTGGAAAGACCTGTCCAGAATGCAATTCCTGAAAGCTTAGAAGTAAATGGTTCAGTCTTCACAGAGTGGTGTAAGAGATATGATAAGGCACAGCCATGTTAAAGTTGCTCCAGAAATGTTGCTAAGGTTAATTTATTCATCAAATAAGTTTATAAATGAGAACTAGTTTAATTTTCCAGACTTAACAAAATTTATTTGCCCCTTTCCTTCAGACCAATTAACTAGAATGGTAATCACAAAAAAATTATGAGTAATGGAACATAGATGAGGGAAAAATTGTGCCAGACCTATCTATGATCAAACATTTATTTATAACCACAGTAATACATACAGAGTAACACAGAGTAACCCACATCGTTATGACTTGACAAGAGTTCCTCCACATCACTATTCGGCTTATACAATATCTCAGTGAAGACAAATGGCTGAACTTACGCAGGGGTAGGATGAAATAAGTAAGATCAAAGACATTTCTGCGAAAATTAGCCTGAAAGCATATTGCCTGTTGACCAGAAATGAGGTAGAAAATGTTGACAAACCAATTCTAACATAGACAGATGTACACTACAGGAGTTGACAAGACCATATCCTCAACCACCACACACAATCAAAAGTTACTGGAACATAACCCAAGGTAAAATATTAGAACCAGAATGAGCAATAGATATAGTACTTTTTACATGTCAGGTATCTAAAATCTACACATTTTCCTTTACACTATAGTGGTTACTGGCACAGTCTCAGCCTCCACTAATGAAAAAAGGCCACAAGCTATTCAGCAGAACCAAGCCATCAGTCAGCCAGAAACATGAGGGACAGTCTCAATACAGAAAAAGTTGAGAAGTTTCTTTTAAACCTCAACTGAAACGCTTAAGGCTATCTTCAAAATTGTTCAAAATTTATCAACACATTCATTTCTACCACACAATGTCAAAGGTCAGGCAATAAACCTTACAATTAAATGTTCTTATTTGAATATCAGTTGACAAGAAGTTGTGTACATATCTGAATCCATTGATAAGACAAAAATAAAACTTTGACCTATACTGGCAATAGCTTCAGCAATGATCCAGATTATTCAATGATCAGATGACACATTTGAAAATTTGGACCTGCCACCTGTGTCAGATATAAACATAATAAAATTAAAATAAGATGAAAAGGACTTGAGAAAATTTGACCCTTAGAATAAAAATTCCCAGGCATTTCTAATAGTTTGAGATGTGTTCTTACACATCACATGAAATATGAATTGATCACACTTTATCCACATGTTCAAGTCAATATTGGTAAACATGAGGACAAGTTTTGCACCACAACGTATTGATTTAAAATTCTTACACCCATTTTACCCCATCTTAATAAAAGTGAATAGTTAAGGGCCAAAAAAATGCAGATCTGCACCATAGAAACAAACTAAAGTCAGCTGCTCTCAAAAACAGAAGGTAGCAACATCTTCTCACCAACAATCTTCAAGACTTTTTAGCAGATGCAATGTTCAAAATGCCTTTACAATTAAAACACACGGCCTATCAAATTAGGGGACTTTTGCACACATTAATCTTCCTGATCATCTTCATTCAAGTAAGCATACTTATTTGAAGCAACGAAGTTCTGTGGAAAGGAGAAGGCCATTAGCATCAATTGAAACAAATATTAGCATTACAAGAACTCAATCAAAGTTTACTCACTGGTTGAGGCTTCTCTTCATATTTGGGCAAACGTCGATCTTCATTGGAATGATCTCTACGTGACGGTCTGGAAAAAATAAGAATTCTTAAATAAAATTTTGTTCAAAAACGAACTCAAATGATGCCTCTCATCAGCAACTGAAATTTAAGTTATGAGAATTTAATATGGAGCAGCAGGACTAAAAAGTCAATGATAATTTCAAGGCTTGTGGGTGAAAACATTCACAGAATAATTTGTTAATCCCATGCTGAGTACAAAAAGTGGACTTATTTATTAATTAGGTTAGAATAGCAGTTCGGGTTAAATTGCTATTAGATAAAAATAAGAATGAACACCCAAGCTCTAACAGTTATTTCCTACAGCCAGAATGTCATGCAGAGCAGCACTGCTGTTCTGCGCTCACCTATCTGTGGGTTGTTTGCCCTTATTACCACCACCACCACTCGTCACCCTGTCTACCCGAGCATGGCCCATTCCCTTTTGAGATCCATGAGGACCAACGCGCCCTCGTCCTGCCTTTCGCTCATACCTGTCAGCGTTGCTGCCATCCTCTGCAAAACACACAAAAAAATGAAAAGGATTAAGACCATGTTAAAAACCCCAAATAGATGACACCAGGTGTAGATTGAGGGGCATTTTACCTTTTTGGAGATCCACATCTTTCTTGTCCCTCGAGCCGCTTCTATTTGTGCGAAAGTCTCTGAACTCGTCTTCCTTCAAATCACTGCTTTCCCTGAGAAGAAATGAATTTAATCGTGAACAATGAAATAAAATGGCCGATTGGAGTGGTGCAAATCCAGTCCTTAACAGGATAAAACTTACCGCTCCTTGTTGTTGATATGATTCCTGTCACGGCTTCTATCATCCTTGTTGTCGTTACCTTCATTTTCAGAAGTTCCACGATCGTTGGCCTTGGTGTCACCATTGTTGGACTATAGACAAAGCAATAATGAGGCAAACAGACCTGATGAAGACCCAAAATTAAGCGTTCTCAAGGAACTTACGCTTGCATCATCTAACCGCGGGCGGCGGGACCAGGCATTCTCCTTGGGAGGTGGTGCGGGTTCAACCTTCTTGGATTCGTCACCGTCCTCATTGGCTTCCCTGGACCTGCAAACACATGTCAGCACACTGTTAGCGGCCCTGCATACTGGAAGGGCTCTCTAGGACTCTCTTTCCCCCTCCCTCTCCCACCTTCCACTGTCGTCCTTGTCCTTCCTCTCCGGGTCGTCGCGACGAGGAGCGCGATCCCTCTCCTTGGCCAGCCTTTCCTCGATCTCCCTCTCCCTGGCAGTGGTGTCCACGGGCTTGGCCGCTCCGAAAATGGACGCACGTGGAACGGGGGGAGCTTGTGCAGCCTTCTCCTTCTCCAGCTTCTCTCGCTCTTCAATCTCCTTCTCCTTCTTCTCTTCTGGAGTGGGCTGGATGACCTCCACGGGCCGAGTGCGAGGCTGCAGCTGCAGCTTGGGGCGAGCTCTCGCTTCTGAAATGGCAAATTAAGGGCTTTAGTATCATGGGGCCGACCACAGGTCTGAGCAAGGGCAGCAATGGGCAATGCGTTTCCAACTCACCTCCTGATGAGTCTGAGGGAGGGCCGTCGTCGCGCCGAGCGAACCTGTCGCCGCCTTCCTCTCGGTCGCCACCGTACCTGGGCCGGTCGCCACCGTAGCGGTCGCCGTCGCGGTCGCCGCCGAATCGCGGACGGTCGCCGTCGCGGTCGCCACCATAGCGATCACCGCCGCGGTCGCTGTAGCGGTCGCCGCCGCGGTCGCCATAGCGATCACCCCCGCGATCGCCGTAGCGGCTGCCCATGCCGCCGCCGTCGCGGTCCCTGTCGCCGAAACCTCGACTTCTGAAGGAGTCCCTGTCTCTGTCCCTGTCGCCGAAGCTGGAGCCGCCGGTGCCAGAGCCCATGCCCTCCCGCCAGCCGCCCTCGCGGTTGTCCATCTCGCGGGGCGCCCCGAAGCCGCTGTCACGCTCGCGGCCGCCGTCCCGGTCGCCGAAGCCGCCGAAGCCAGGCCGCCCGCCGGACCGCCCGCCTGCCGCACGCCAACAAACGAGTCGTTATTAAAAATGTCATTATAAAATTAGAACACGAGGCGAGTCACAAGAGTACTCACGGTCTTCTCCGGCCGGCTCGGACCGAGGCCCCGATCTCCAGTCACCCATCGTCCGTTCCGGGTCCTCCTCGCGGCCCATACCCATGCCCATGCGGTCCCGGCCCATGCGGTCTGACCTGCCGTAGCCCCGGTCTCGGTCATTGTTTTCTGATACATCGATCCTTATCCGTCGGCCCTTCATGCTCTGAAACAAATAAGGAAAATTGCAAGTACAGAATTTATTGCATAATTATTTCTCTTTTCGATCAATTGGGGCTTACTTACCGTATCCGCAATTTGAAGAGCCTCGATGAGGCCCGCCCTCTCAGTAAACTCAACATATCCATAGCCTTTGAGTTTTCCCGTAGCATCGTTTCTTGGAAGCCTAATAGTTTCAAGCTGAAACAGAAGAGAAAACAATAGAACCACACGATTTACGGTACAAAAGCAACGATTGTAGGTCAACTTATGACCAACAATGCTGTTCATTTGCATTGCTGGTGTCTGAGTGAACATGTAATCTGGCACATGTAACTGAACTCCATTAAAGCAGATTACAGCTTTAAAAGAAGTTATGTGCTTCAATAGAAATAAGAGATAAATTAGATTAACAATAATTTTAAAGAAAGCTTGAAAACCGAATAATATCAACCAATCAGGAACAAAGCATGCTTATTAGGTGTGATCTAAATGCTAGAGCACAATTAGTGTCAGAATCTCAGCTTTGAACTACACCTCCACAAACATAGGCACAAAATTCGTAATAATGTATTAATATACAAGAGTTTTGCAACATTTCGTACGGTGGGAAATTGTTAGTCCACTTGTGACCAATAATGCAAAAATGTGCTTCATGGTGTCTTAGTGACTATTCAGTATAGCACAATAAACTGAACTCTACCAGAATTGAGGTACAGACTGGAGAGAAGTTAAGTGCACCATTGTGACCATTGTAACTTAGACTATAAACAAGTGCAACAGTACCTGGAGGTCCCTGAAGAATTCTTCAATGTCCTCTTCAATAGTTTCAAACGGGATATTTGTGATGTATGCCACATAGGGTGGAGAATTTGGTACCCGTTCATCATCAGTACCTCTGGCAGAACGTGGCGCTGTTGGTAAAGCAGACTTGCGAGCCGCTGCTATCTGCAGATCTGAACATAAAATGAGACATTACAAATAACTCAAACACATCATGATTTAAAAGTTACAACTTAAACCACTCACCTCGTTCATCAATTTCAACTTCTTCCGCCCATGCTACTGGACGGGTTTCTTGTAGGACTGTGCCAAGGTCCACCTGCTTCCATTTGTTTTTCTTGTTCTTTTTACCTGTAGACAAAGTTGTCATCTTTAAGTTACAGAGCTATTTCAGAAAGCGCCTAAAAGATTATACAAAAAGAATAACATATTGAACACAAATGACTCCGTTCATATGATTTCAATGCACTTCACTTTGACAGATCTCTATCAAAACAAACTTTATAAAGGAGGCCAATCAAATTTTCACGGAGAAAAACTGTTGAGAGCAACGCGTTCTATCGTTTTATCGTGGTGTTTAATAAATTCGGCTTTAAACACACAAAATCAGATGGTAGACACAATTTAAGCAAGATTCCACCGAATGGATCATTCAATTGCCCGAAGAAATAGACCGAAAGACGCGCCGCATTTTGGTGGAATCGCTTCAGAATAGAATACGTACTCATTTTGCACAGCTGGAACTAAGCCGGCAAATGGATGACTCAATTTCAACCACTCGTCAACCAGCTTGAATTTCTGAACTAACCACGAGGTTGCTCAAGGGGCACAGCGATTTATAGAATTTAAAAATATTTTAAGGGACACACAGGAGCGTAGATGGGTTCAAAACAATCGGCAGTGAATGCAGAGTGTGTTTGTGAACGTTCAGCCTTCAAAAGTTGACAGTAACACGCTATAAATAGTGAAATGTACTTCACGTGATGTGCAGCTTGCTACCCACCTGAAGCAGCCATCTTGAAGAACACAATTTACGTAAAGTAGTGCCAACATGAATATAGCACACTTGACATTTTGAAGAGATCAAAATGTGGTAAGTATTGAAACTAGACTGACTTAGCTGACAGATTAGATGTGACTTAATTTAAAACGTTCGTAACAAAGATTGTGAAAGCTATGAGGATCCTTTATTTCACAAGCCAGAACTTCTGTGACAATTATTGCTGAGGTTGGCGCAAACGAAATGCGTTGCCACGTTTCCCTCTATTTACTTTGGCGCGGACATTCAAAAGCGCTGAGGTCAGCAGCCTATCTGTTTTATCATCTGCAGAGATATATCTGTCATCAGGAGAGTAAATATTTCGTTTGAATGAGACTTTTGCTGTAATGGGGCATTAAGTGACGTATGAAAACATGAGAAATGAGAATAAATTGCAAGGGAATGTTTCCAGACACCACACCGACACAAACCGCGCACCACCGCGCTCTACTGTCACTTGTTCCTTGTTGCTAGGTACCAACTTCATAAACACTTCTTTCATTTCGATATGAGCCAGAAAAAGCATCTGGATTGAAATCCATCGATCCATCCACGAGGCGGCCTTGCTTTGTTGTCAATTTCCATTCTAGTCGATACAAGCTGGAAACCATAAAATATTTAGTCCGCAGCTTCGACCAACTCTGGCTGTGTGGATAAATGTTCCCCCCTCCAACAGATCCTGTTTTGAAACTGCGCCGCTTCGCCGCTCGCTGGGGATCGGCCGTGCCGTGACGTCAGTCGTCAGTGTGTCTTCTGCGTTCGTCGGGGACGTTGCGGGATGTGTACGTCGTTTCGTGTCCGGTGCTGTTGACGTGATTCAGCCATGTTTAAGTCCCAATTGCTGGCGTAAATTTTACTTTGTGTTGGTGAATTTAAGTTGTTAAGTGTTACCCTTGTGCTGTGGATTACCCCTTCTACTGGATTTGCACTCTCTTCATCATGAGTTGGGGCACAGAGCTTTGGGTGAGTAATTGCCTTAACCTAAACCCTCATCAAAACAATTAAATAACAACAATCAGCATCAAAATAATTTCAGTTGTAGTGAAATTCCGCTAGATTATCGACTTGAGTTCAATCGAGCCGTAACCTCACACTTAGCTTAGTGCAGAATAAAAAATTTTGTCCATCAGACTGACAAGCATATTACCTCCCTGTGTCAACATCCAAAGCAGTGTTTATCACATAGGAACGTTGCCAAATAATTTTTGAAAAACATAACTATGCACTTTTATTTAAAATAATCTTGCCATATGATTGTGCATACAATTGTATCATTAAATCCATTTAGAAGCTGTAATATTTTTTTGTGTTTTGTAGGTTGTTATTTTGTTTGCCCAACATTGGAACTAACTGGCTTTGCAATGATTTGATGATTATATTTTTAACGCTCAATCCAATAATGTGAATTTTACACCAATTTTTATTGCACTTATTTTGTTTGAAGCTTGGATCATGTATTTTTTAATTTTTATTTTGGGGCGTTTTTTTGTGTGTTCTTGTTTTATTCCCAAACACATTACATCCAGGTGCAAAGCAGGTGTACTGCGGATATACCACACTGGAGGGCAGTAGAGATCACCTGTGCTGCTCGACAAAATTAACGAGCCTCTGAAATTATCTGAGCTTAGTGCCCAGGGGCTGCTTGCTGAGTGTCGTGGATTGTTGCGAAGTCCCCAAAAGCAAGTGTAGTAGTAGCTGCATTCCGGCTTGCCGCTGTAGAGCTGCTCAAGCCGCCAGGGCCCAGAGGCAGCCAGCCAGCATGCCTGCGTTCGCCCGGCTCTGCTGCTCTGCTCCCGGGGTCCCAGTCCCGGCGTGGCGTGGCGTGGCGTGGCGCAGGGGCCTTCAGGGCCTCGACGCGGCCCTGCCCAGCCCTTCCTCTCCCCGCCCCGCCCCGCCCGCGGCCCACCCGGCCTGCCTGGTCTTAAGTAGAATGGGAGGGTCAGGGGGGAGGAGGTAGCTTAGCTTGCTGCCTCCATGCCGGCAGGTGCGTAGGGGGGCGGGGCGGGGCGGGGCGGGGGCAGTCACGATGCGGCCGACTTACAGGCGTAGACCATTCTTGACGGCTGCAGGTGGCTTGTGCGTCCCCCTGAAACAGCAATTTCAGCATGACGTTGGTGACACTTCGCTCGGTGGGAAGAGGCCGAAGGCAACGTCTGTGGCGCCAGGACTGCGCCTTGACACTTCGGTGCATCACCGTCCATCTCACTCGCCATGCGCTCCGGCAAGTCGCTGCGCCGCGCTGCGGCCAGGCTCCAGCAAGACTCCAGAGGCAGGCCGGGTCCTGGTCAGCGACCCTGAGAGACGCCCGCTTTGGTCGCTACGCCCCGCCACGCCCCACCACGCCCCGCCACGCCCCGCCACGCCTCGCCACGCCCCACCACGCCACTCGGTGCGAGCTGCCCTATCACACGAGTGTCCATTGGCGCGCACTGCGTCGCGGAGACGGGGAAGACGGTCGCTCACGCTGCTCACGGTGCTCACGCTCGTCGCCGCGGACGCCGGGGATTTTCTTTTCACTTTCCGCTCTAAGCCCCTCTCCGTGTCACCGCGGTCGCCGCGGTGCGCGCCTCGTCACGACCGGGCCCAAGTAGGGCTCGGGCGCCAGGGCTAGGCCAGGGCGCGCCGGGGCCGGCAGCTACAGCAGCTACCAGTGGGGCGGCAGGTGCCTCGCCGCGTCAAGTGGCGACGCGGGGCGCGTTTTTGCCGCTTACCGAGTTCGAACTGGCCACTGGCACACTGCGTGTCGTGGCGGGCGTGGGCCACGACGTGGGCCACGACGTAGGCGCGGCCCCACCGCCCCATGCCCCAGCCAGCCGCCGCCAACAAGGCAATGTTTGTGTTTGGTCTGTGTAGGGCCCGGACTCCCCATTGGGGCCCTACAAGTCCCATGTTGTGTTTCACACACACACACACACACACACACACACACACACACACACACACACAGCCGACCGCGCCTGATTTTTCAAATTGGAGTCCCGTCCGCGCGCTGTTGCCGCAGTGTGCGACGGCGGCCGGAGTGGACGGAGGGGTGCTAGAAAAGAAAGCCGAGGGCACGCGAGCGGAGGGCCGAGTGTCAACACGGTGCTGCTCGTTGCACTGGTGCAGGGCCTGCGGCGGAGGGGAGTTGGCGTGGGAGAGCCGCCCCGCCCCGCCCCGCCCCGCCCCGCCCCGCCCCGCCCCGCAGGGAAAGTGACGCTGCATGCGTCGGCTCGAATTTTGGCGCCTGCACCTGCGTCCCCAATTTTACAATGCAGCCGGGCCGCCCGGGCCCCCGCCACGGCCGCCACCCTGGGTTCCTTATTTTTGGCGCAGCGGGGCGGGCCGGGCGGCGGCCCTCTCCTGCACCTGTCCGTCGTCACGCCACCGTTGACGCCCCGCACGCCCCGTCCCGGCGTGTCGCGGCCGGCACCGCCCCGGCGACCCCGTCGACGACGTCCTTTTATTTATTGGCCGCTGATTGGTCGCAGCCTGCAGCCCCCATGGCGCTGTCAATCAGAGCGCCTCCACTGGAGAAAGGCTGCGGGTCGGCGCGGCGATAGCGTGCCGCCGTGTACCGCCAGGTCCACGTCCACGGCCGCGACGCCGCGACATCGGTGCGCCCCGCGCCGATTCAAACAGCGAAACCCATCAGACGTCCTGACGGGGCTCTCGAGGGACTCGTCGAGTGCGTGGATTGTTGCTCGCCGTGGCGGCCGCGGCACTGGTGTGGTGGTGTCTGCGGAACGGTACTGATGGGTACTCGTCGGCGTGCTGTGCTGCGGTGCGGCCCGCGGCTCGGCCCGGCCCGGCGCGGTGCTGGCTGGGGTACCGGGCCGCCGCGTGACCTACAAACTCTAGAGCCATCCTCGTTGCCACTACGGCCGTAACTCTGCCTAAACATCCGGCAATGGCAGCGCATGAGCGGGGCGGGGCGGGGCGGGGCGTAGCGGGCCCGGAGTAATATACGGCCGGCGCGTACGTGCATCCTCGCTCATCCTCGCCGGGAAAAAGAGAATACGTCCAGGTGCGCGTCGTGGCGCGGCGAGGGTGGGTGTCGATCGACCACGCCCCGCGCGCACCGCCCGGAAACTGGTGTCCTCGCCTCGTGTTGACTTTGGACTGGGTGTCTGTCCTTCCGGGAGCGCGCCCCGCGCCGGCAACACTAACGCTGGCAGCCTGGCCTGGCCCGGCCTGGCTATGCCACTCGAGGGGCATAGTGTATCGGCATGGTGTTTTTTGGAGTGCAGTCTGCTGGTTTGCTGGTTCACACGCTTGGATGCCGCCATTATCATCAAGAGCTGGCTCATGGCAGGGCATAGCCAGGGCATAGCCGGCGTGAGCTCCCAGCGCCCCTTCCCTTGTCGCCCGCCACGCCCCGCCCCGCCCCGCCATTCAGCCTTGGCTCATTGGCAGCTGCAAGATTGCGACTCGCAGCCCCGCCGTGCAAAGCGCCGCGACGTGCCGAGCGAACGCGTGTCGCTGCAGCAGCTGCAGCCTGCAGCCGTGTCCGGCCGGGGTTCGAAGCCCGCCGCTGCCTTTCACCGGCCGCCTGCCTGGCTACGCCGCTACGCCGCGCTAGTCCCTCACCCGGCAGCCCGGCAGGCACCCCTGTTTGCCGTCTGTCAACGGCCACGGCGCCCTGGGGCCTCTAGGGCCCGGCTGGGCTGGCCCTGGCTGGCCGTGGCTGGCCGGCCTGGGCGATGACCCCCCGCCCAAACACACTTCCTGGCGGCGCATTCAAAACCGAGGAGGGGAAAAGGAGTTCGTCCGGAGCCCGGAATGCGGGCCGGGGCGTGGTGCCCGGTGCGTGCGGTCACCGTGCCGCTGCGCCGCCGCCTGCAATTGTTGTGCAGATTTCGGGGGGCGCGGCTGGCTGGGTCACTTGTGCCCCGGAGCGGTCCGCCCGTCCGTCCACGCCGGTGCACTCCAGTCGTGTCACAACATTCTGCACGGTCGGCTCGCCGCGGTGCCCCCACGGTGTGCCCAGCGGGCCGCCGTGCCGCAACACTTTTTATTTCCAGCCGTTTGGTATTCATTTATTTTGGAGGCCGCACTAAAGCGCGCGCCGCGTGTCCGCGTTTCTGGCGGTGTAGCTGCATTTAGTCCGTCTGGACGGGGCAGGTACCGTTCCACGGGTGCGCCGCGCCTGCCGCGGCGTGGCCGGCCGGCACCCCCCTCCCCTCCCCCTGCCCACGGCCAATCATTGGGTGGGACAGAAACCGTTTTGACGACGGCCATGTGACACTCCTTTCTCCCGCGTCTCGTTGTTGTCGTCGTCCCCGTCCAAGAAAGGAGGCAAACGAAAAAGGAGGAGGTTTCCCACTTTCGGTTCTTTTTGTTTTTTCTGAATGGATTGAAGCCCGGGCTTTTATTTTTGGCAATGCCGCGTCGCGTTTTCCGCAATTAGCCCGACGTTGGAAATTTCCTGTGTGCCCGGGCATGACAGCAGCGACGTGCAGCGACAGTGATGTGACAGAGTAATTCGGCCGGAGGCCTGTTATCATCACGTGGTCGCCATTATGGCCCCTGCATCATCCCTTCGTCCGCTCGCTCAGTTCGGCTATCTCGTCCATTCGTCGGCTCACTCATTCATCCATCCATCGACGTTTACAACTAGCGAATAACTTGCTGACCCGGAGAAATTTTTTGCCCGTCGCTTGCAAGGCATTCTTCTTTTTAGCGCGAGGCCCTCCCCTGTCTTCACTCCCAGCTAGAACTGCGCCGACAATAAAGGCTGTCCGATTGTGCGCCGCGCAATTCATCAGCTGGAGGTGGTTGGGTGGAGCACGTCGGAGCGGTCTGGGGCCGAGCCGGGCCGAGCCCCGGGCCTGGGGCGTGCGGTTTGCGATGACCTCCGCGACCTCAGCACTGTCTGACGGACGGGCTGGCTGAGTCCGCCACGCGTCGCGTCGCCCTGCCGCAGTCCCGCGGGCTGCCGGAGGCCGGAGCGTCCCGCTGTACAGACTGATTCCGAGCCGTCC